GGACGGAGAAGGGCGCCCGCTCGCTCGCGCTGCGCCGACGGAGCTCGCTCCCGCCGCGGGCGCCCTCGGGAGAGCGCGCAGCAACAAAGGGTCCTCCCGCTCCTTTCCCCGTGCGCACACACAGTAAGGATTTGGGGCCGGATTTGATTCACTCCTCAGCGTGGTTCGCTGTGTGCGTCGTGTGTGACGCGTGGCTCCCGTGTGCACGGGGACGTTTCTGTGCCGTGTTGCTGTGAGTTGGTGCTTCGCGGCCTAGAACTCAAAAAGCATTTCAAAGGGGGGATTTCCTTAGAGCTCTTTCGGGGAAGGGGAATGTGTCAGGAAAATGCCTGAAGGGCACTGTGATCGGTAAGTCTGCGTGCTGCTCTGTGGCTCAGTTTACCTGACTGCACCTATCTGCCAAAATGACATGGTGGTAGTTACCTCACAGGATCTTTGTGAGGAGAAAGTGAATTAACACTATGTATTTATGCGTTTGCTCTATTATTTTTAATAAGGCAAAAATAGCTAATGACAGCTAAACCCAGAAGTGTGTCCCTTCATCGGATTTGAAACATGGAAGTAGAAACAACAGAAAAGTTCAACAAAAATTTTCACTTTGAATTTATATTTCTTTTCTTTTTTTTACTTTTTTTATTGGTGTATGTACTAGTTACAGTGTTACTATTTATTTATTAGTATTTATTTATTTGGGTACTGGGGATTGATCACAGGGCCTACACACTGAACTACATCTCCAGCCTTTTTAATTTTTTTTTTTTTTTAATTGAGACAGGGTCTTAAGCCTCTGTGTTGTACAGGCAGGGCTCGAATTTGTGATCCTCCTACTTCACACCATGCAGATAAACTTGGGAAGAAGGATAACTAGAATCAATCTGCCTATCTATCTATCGATCTATCATCTATCTATCTTCTATCTGTTATCTATCTCTTTATAACATTTATATCGAATCTTTATAAATCCACATTAAACCTTTATAAATCTATATGAATATATATTTACATACATATATTAACATATACATCTATATGTCTAGATATAAATTGTTTCATTTCTTGGAAAATGGCACAATTGTATGACACATAAATATCTGTGGACATTTCTAGAGAGCCCCTGGATGAATATGTAGATAAAAGTAATTTTATTTCCTCTCGTGAGTTTTCAGAGGGCTTTCTGGAATGTATATATCCTTTCCTAGGTTATCTTTTCCAGCGACTGTGCTTTTTGCACTGCAACCAGGATAGTTAGGACGCTTTAACTCCAGTGTTGCATGATTCTGCAGAAGTTCCACCTTGTTCTCTATTTGGATTTAAGATTCATATTTAGGTGTGTCTTTAAAGAGGTGGTAGACAAGAGGGCTGTTTGTTCTGCTCCCACTTTACATGCAGGGCAGAAACAGACAAACTGACTAGGGTATTCTGGATCATTGAAAATAATTGGGGTGAGAATGTGGAACTTGTCAGGGGTACAGCCTAGAAGGCAAAGTGACAAAGTAAGCTTTCTCCCTAAGCATTCTGAGAACAAGTTGATCTTCCTCTTTATTACTGAAAATTATTTTGTAATGGTATTCATGCCATCAATTGCCAACTACTTCCTACCAGAAAGACACTATTTAATGCAAGTCTACAGGGCTTTACATAGAGAAGTTTGATGCAATACAGTCCAGTACATAAACCACAACTCCATTTGTCCCTGTCTGTGTGTGACACTAATGCTCCAGGAAAATGTGCTGTCTGATGTTACCTCTAGGGCTAAATCTATGGTTAGGAATCCCTAATACAATCTTCCAGACTTTTTATCCTAGTACTAACATGTTTCAGTATATGTTGATAAAAATAGTAGGAACATACACTGTTGCAACTTGCATTTTGCATTTTACAATAAATTTGAGATACCATTCTATATCAGTTTATAAAAATAAAAAATCATTATTTGTGTGATCATACAGATATATGTCAATCCCCCAAGACATGGATATCTTTGGGTTCTTGGGGAAATAATCATGCAGGATCATAAATTTATCAAAGTATATATGTGCTTTACATTTTAATTGATACTAAGATTCTGTAAATCCCATTTTATGTTACTATTAATGATCTATTTAAGGGGCTATTTGCTAATAGAAATCATTTTAATTGTATTGATTTGATATCTAAATAAAAGAAGATATTTTAAAATTCCAATTTCCATGCATTTATTTCTGGGGGAGTTTGGATATCTTCAAAGGAAAAGGCTGTCTTTTCTTCTATAACTTGTTTATTTTTCTCTTGGATTATTTTTCCATTTCCTCATTAATGGCTCTTGAATGACAGGGATTTTTATACTCTTTTGTATCTGGCACAGTTGTTTTCACTATTTAATTTGTATTTGTTTAAGAGTTTCTAGCTATGTATCCTTGCTTAGAAAGCACTTTTACATCCTGCCATGGTAAAATTTCCTTCATCATCAAATTACTTTAATTTATATGTACATCAATTACATTTTTATTCTTACACCATTCTTATCCTTTGAACAATTAAGTCTGAAAAGTTTAATATAGCATGTTATAGGAATGCTGGATGTTCCAAAGTAAACATTTCAGTGTTGCTGTGTTAGTCAGCTGTTTTGTCACTGTAACGAAATACCTGAAGCAAACAATTTGGAGGAGGTAAGATTTACTGTGGCTTAATTTCAGGGATTGCAGTCTTTTGTTGACTAGTTCTGTTCTTTAGGCCTGTAGCAAGGAACAACATCACGGCAAGAGAGTGGCAGAACAAAGCTGCTCAACTTATATCAGCCAAAAAGTAGAGAAAGCAAAAGCTTGCCAGAGAAAGGAGCAGGAGACATGATACAGTTCTCAAGACTGGTTCCAAAGATCACTCCTTCCCACAAGGCCCCATCTTGTGTCTCGATCACTTTCCAGTAGTGCCATCACGGTATCATCTAATCAGTACAGCAATCTATTGATGGCGTGAGAGCCCTCATGACCTAACTGTCTCTGGGAACACCCACAGATATTTAGTATACTATACTAATTTCCTAGGCCTTTGTCAGTTCAGTTAAGCTCACAGTCATATTAACCAATGATAGTTACCTATAAAATTGGTAAAATTGGAAAAACAAATAAGTAAGGTTCAGCTCAAAGGTCATTTACTGCCTTTGACTTCCTGTCATTGATTCTACTGCTTTGGCTGCAGTACTCTGATTTTCCCCTTCCTACTTTCTTCCTTTCATTCCTCTCCTCTCTCCTCCCCTCCTCTTCTTCCCCTTCTCTCTCCCTCCCTCTTTCTTATTCTTTCTCTCTCACTCTGTCTCTTTCTTCTCTTTCTCTCTCTCTCTTTCTCTCTCTCTCTCTCAATCTCCCCCTTTTGGGACTATAGATGTATGTGGTCATTCCCATCCCTTTGACCTTTTTGTGAAATTCTTTTCTCCTATGGTGAGAGAGTCAATCACATAAACCATTGCATTACCCCTGAGGAGACATAATAGTGATTTAACCTAGGGTAGATGGGAAATAGTTAGAATCAAGATTTGCTAATTGTGTGTGAGGGAGAGAAGAATCAACAGTGACACTTAAATTTTTCTGTTTTTGTTGTGTGGTCAGGGTAGATGGTAAGCCATTTACTGAGATAGGGAGATACATAAACACATATATAGAGATGCAGATATAGATGTATAGCAACTTGGAGAAAATTAATGGGTCATAGGATAAACACTTTTCTACCCACAACCACTCTGGAAAATTCCCAATTTTCCGATCTGATTGTACCACACTTTAATCCTAGAAATTACACATGGAAGTACAAGTTGCTCCATATATCACTAACATTTTATAAGGCCAGTCTTTTGGCTTATCTATCTGTTTATCTAGAATCTGGAGTTTGTTCCCTTTCTTTGAAGTACTGATTTTGTTTTGGCTTGAAGATCCATTTCTGGATAATTATCTTGAACTTGTTGAAGCTTAATGTTACCTTTATCAAAGTGAGCCTGTGGAAAACTTCATATATTTACTAAGACTTCCTTTTTAGATGGTGCTATGGTCTGAGTATTTGTATTCCCCCTCAATTAATAATTTGTAATCCTGTCCCCACCAAAGTGATAATCTAAAGAGGTACTCTGTAAGGACAGCAAAAAGATGGCCATCTATGAAATACAAAGTACGTGTTTACTAAACACTGAATCTACTGATGCCTTGATCTTGAATTTCTCAGCTTTCACAACTGTGATAAATAAATTTCCTTGTTTGTGGTATTTTGTTAGAGCAGCCAAAATGGTCTAAGGCAGATGAGATTCAAACATTAAATTCTTTCTGTGCAGTGGTGGACTGCTGCTGAAGTATTTGCTCAGTATTCTAGTAGATCCCTTCCACCAGGTTCTTTGGACTCTTCCCAGCAAATGCACACTTCTGCACACTTTATTTTAATATAATCTGGCAATCTATCTTTTAATCATTATGAGCATTTACATTCAGAGTTATTATGCATAGTTATGCACTAATTCCTGTCATTTTGTTCATTTTGTGATGTTTATTTTTATTTTTTTCTAATTCTCAGGAGTTTATCTGTCTTTCCCTTCTTTATACTGGATTCTTTCAAGTATCTTCTGCAGTACTTGTTTAGTGGTCAGGAATTTTTCTAGTCTGTGCTTATCTTTGAAGACCTTTGTTTTGAAGGACAACTTTGATATTGGAAATGTATTAACTATTAACTAA